TTTTTTTTTTTAATGTACTAGTGCTGTTAGAAAAATACCAGGAAAAAGTTGTTTGAGTTTCACCAAATATTAAAATTCGACTGTTTTTTCTTTGTTTGCCTACAGTGCGACCAAATTACACATGCGGTCGTAAGGTGCATCTTACCCCGTCTTGCTCCAACCTTTGAAACGCTTTCAATTTCATTATTTTCATTAGCATTTTAGTAGCATTCCAAATTTTCCAATACTTGTAAAAACAATTTCTCATGGTATGATTGAATGTTATTGCAGTTGATACGTGTCGAAGGACAAGTGAAGAGGTACAAGGCAGCCGCAGAACAAGGAGAGAAAGAGCTCGCCGAATTGAAATCGCAAAATCGGCAACTGAAAAAAGAAGTGAGCTTTTTCTCTGAAGAGACTGGAAATGAAATAGCCCGGGGTGTGGAAATAAAACAGTGACAGAACTGGGATGGAAATCCAATACTGGATGTCCGGGTCGTCTTGGTATTCTTAGTATAAAAACTGTAAAACTGGGATTTGTAAACCATGAGAAGCTACTTTGCTTGGAAATAGGAATTGGAAACTGGGATGGAGGCCGTGGCGGAAGGATGGAAGGGGAGGGGGGAGGGGGCGGGGGAAAGGGAGAGAAAGGAGGAGGTAATATAAAGGTTTCTGAGGCTCAATGAAAAAATTTATTTTGAAAGAAAGCTGATAAGCTTGTGCTTGCACTCGAAAATTTTGCCAAAAAAAGAAGTCAGCCACTTTTATACAACTGTGCTTTTCGCAGCTTGTAACCCAAAATTATAAAAAGCTCCCGTTCTCTTCCAATTTCAGGTCCCCTTTTCTTCCAGACTCCTTGCCAAGAATATTCACTGTTTGTATTTTTTTTAAGAAAATTTCTACGACATTTGTAAAAAAAATGCATATTTTCGCGGCTGAATCAGTCGAGCCGAGTTTTAGCAAATACCCTTTTTTGGGGGGTTTTTTTCGATTATCTTCCATCTCTCTTAGAAATGTGAAATATGAGGAAGGGAAATTTGACTTATTGAATGGACGAATACAGTGGCATCTCATAAAAACAGGAAAGATTTATGTTTGTAATTATTGGAGTTGTAATAGCTTTCCGCTGTCTGAAGCGAGCACTATGGCCTTTTAAATATAGATGTTATTGTTTTCCTCTTTGCCTTAGATATGAAAGCAATAACAGGAGAAATTAGAAAAAAAAATTGATTTATGGAATTTTACCGCATTGGTGCCTGGAGGCATGGCGCAGTGGAATAGCATATTTATCACGCAGTAGGTCGAAAGTTCGACCGCGCCAATAGACCAACTAATCAATTCTTCTACGATACCTACATTTATACCGATGGTAAATTGGTACTGGCATATGCCAAGGAGTCAAACTCGCCACCAGCGTGTTTATAAGCAACCTTCGAAAGGGGAACCATCGAACGTCACGTAAAAATTCCAGATTTCCAGCTTTTCTGGTTCCCGAGCTAGCAATTTTCCTGCCAAAAATTTCCACAAGCCCGTACTTGAGAACCACACATATCTCGGAAGCTAAATTTGAAATCTCTAAGTTCTGCGTAAAGAAGGGAACATCTCCAGCCTTACCAGCGAGTGGTTGCTTTTGGCATTTGCTGCCACGTTGCCGAATACTTCAGGACAAATACGGGGAGGGTTTTTTGGGTTTTTGACATCACTGATACCTGGATTTTCCAAAGTCTTTCACTACTTGCCGCTCACTAATTAGGTTTTGCGCATTTTCCGTTTCTGTTCATTCTATATTCCATAAACTCTGGGACTTTGATAAAGGATGAATGAAATGTGGGAGAAAAAGACGTCCTAATCATGACTGATAAAATTATCAACAGTAAATGCATATTGAATTTTGGGTTATTATAGCTTCGAGACAAGGAGAATGCTTTGGACGAAGCCAAGGAAACAAATCGTCATTTGCAGAATCGAATCGAAAAACTACGTTTATCTGGTTCCAGAAGAGTCACATAAAAGCGCAGTTACGGCTGCCTCCAATTATTTGGTGGCAAAAAAAAAAGAACATTTTCATATTTCTTTTCAAAGCTTTCAGGCAATCAATTCAGTGCTTTTTTATTTAATTTGATAAAAATGTAAAAGTAATTTTAGACTATGTAACAGTGTGTATGTTTTTCAAGCGGCGATTAGCTTAATAATAATCAGTTTGTACTTTTTGTTAGGCCTTACACTTTGAGGTTTTTAATAAACAGCGGCCAGTGCCTGTGATACTTTGAGGTTTATTGAGGTTTACGCATTGAGGGTTATTAAATCGGCCAGTGCCTCTGTGCTATTCACAAATCAGTGCTCGATTGCTTACCTTGATCAGCTGCTCCTCCGTTGACGCTTCTGGCATTTTCCCCAATCTTTTGTATTCTAGCCTTTTCTCATCCACTTAATTCCATGTAGCAAATCAGCGGATCCGTCCATCGCACTGGTGACCTTCCCGACCTTCTTTTAAACAATCGAATGTTACTGACCGGTCGATTTTGATCTTTACCAATGCATCTGGTGATTTTTGGCCGAAATTTTTCCCCTTTTTGTAGATTTTTTTTTCAGACGCCGAATATCATTTTCACTTTTTTTTACCAGCACTCGAATGCTATTACTATCAGTCGGCATTTGTTGATGTTGCATGTTATAGATTTTTATTAACTTGATGGCGGCACTTTTTTTTCCGGGATTTGCTCTGTTTACAAGTATAATTTACTAATTGAGTGTCATCATTAAGTGTTGAAATTGGAGGAGGAGGAGGAAGGGGGCAAAAAAAGTCGGTTGTAT